CGGTAGTCTGACACGGGCTTCAATCGAATATGCAAATTACTATTATTATTGGTATATATATATATATATATATATATATATATGGGGTATGATTTGTAAGTTCACAAAATGGATGATCTTTGCGCTACTTTGGTATCGATTAGAGTATTTATAACAGGCCTTCTACAGTAAACCATAAATCAGAACGTCAGAAGTCTTAACCAGTCTTAACCAAGTCGTTCAAGTTGACTATTAGCCAACTTGAAGCGCGATTAGTGGTAAATATTCTGATTGATTAGTGCGATTAGCAACCAATGATGAATTTATTTCAGTTTATTAATAATGGCTGCTTAATGGATGATTGGTGGATTTCATAATCCGTTTTGCAAACTATTAGCATTTTCGGTCTGGCCAGGGGCTCTATTCTTGAAAAGAAACGTATACGAAAGTCCAGGAAAATACTATAGTATACGTAACATATACTGTAGCATTTCCCTAGACTTTCGTATACGTTTCTTTTCAAGAATATAGTCCCGGGCCGAAAACGCTATATGTCATTTTTAGTACTTTTTTTACTACTTTTTAGTGCTTTTACGATACTAGAGGTCTGTTTTCTGTGGCTGAACTAGTGTACACTTTTGGAACTTAAAGTGAGAAAGATATACGTTTGATATTTGTTTAAAGCGAGAAAGAGAGTTCTAGAACAGTCTAGTGCAGGAACAGAAAACAGACCATATGTCTGTTCGCGTTGCTCGCACTTTTTGCACTAGGCATCTTCGCTTTCTCTCTTTTCAAAGCCAAATATATACCTATAGATCTGTTCGCGTTGCCTGCACTTTTAGCACTCGACATCTTCGCTTTCTCTCTTTTTAAGGCGAAATATGTATCTATCTCATTTTAAGTGCAAAAATATTTGGGGATTTTATGCAACGCGAACAGACCTTATGTCATTTTAAGTGCAAAGATATAGGGGGATTTCATGCAACGCGAACAGACCTCATATTAGTCGATTGTCGATCGCGGTTCTCTTATAAATATAGGACTCTAGTATTGATGATCTCGTTGGCGAACTTGGAACCAGTGATGCACATTTGGCTCCCCGGCAACACGGAAAACCGCCCCACCACTTTGCCGCTGCGCGAGAGCGAGCGAGACAGCTTGGAACTGGGAAAATTTTTTCGATCTTTTCTATTCTTTTCTTGTTATATCTTGTCGGTGTTGCACGTGGTACGTATAATTTTGACTTTATTTTCAGATTCTTTTTAATAATCCGTTCTATTAGATTATGTATTTTAGGATCGTAATGTGTTTTAAATCGTTAAATGTCTCCGCAGTACGATAGTTATGTAAAAAACGATCTTTTTACATTTGTTAGATACACATAACCTATAAAAAGCTTTAGTTTAAATAGTAGATAATAATTTAATGAAATTAAAGTTTATCTTATTTAAAATATTTATCATCAAAAATATAAAATACGAAGATATATGTATATATATATATATATATATATATATGTGTGTATGTATGGCAATGGTGAAAAAATGTGAATACTGATTGTTACATAGAAAGTCCAAGATGTCGTCTCACTTGAATTGGATGATAATCCGCGACAACAATGCTTTTCTTCTGAAGAAACGCAACATCAACAAACCATTTTCTACGGTTCGTTAAGCCTGCTGTATATATCTTCTAAAGCATTATTAATAACTTCAACAATATTTCTTGCTATTACATAGATTAATAATTCTTTAGGAGGCTAACAACTTGACGAATCTAAGTAGTTATCGCTACTCTGGTTTGATTCACCGTAAGAGCGTCGGGGTTATTGATACTCCCGACAAAAAGGGTTTCACAGTTGTCTATAAAAAGGCCAAAGCAGTCAACAAGCCTGCCAAAGCTAATGTAAAGAGCACAATGAAGGCAGGAGCTCGTCGTTCTCTACACAAGTTGAAAACTCTACTTAAAAAGAACAAGTATCGCGTAGACCTTACCAAGGTATGCAAATTATAGAATCATTACGCTAAGCTTATTAATTATTTGCTTTCATATACTCCAAATAATAACTTTAATCAACTTTCCACAATAAGCTATTACGTAAACTTTAAGGACTGTGGCACACAAAAAATTTGAGTTTGTAAGATATTTGAGCAGTAAGACGTAAGCAATAAGGAATCAACATGTTGGATTCGACTTTATAATGATTGGTCAGTTCACTTACTGCTTATGTTTTACTGCTTAAGTTTTTTTTTGTGCTATTGCCCTAAGTCTTATGCTATAAGAAATTAACCAATCACAGTATATTTTTCTTCTCGTACTTGATTGTAATTGGTTGATTTTTTATGACTTAACTTGACTTAGGTAATGGTTTTTTGTAAATTGAGTACTTTTATACTACCCTGTATTATTGACAGTTGAAAGATTAATGATTATGTTTTATATGGCACCCTTAATCAGATTTAATAACATCAGTAGTTATAAAACAGACCAGTCATTCCATTCTTCAGAAGAATAGCTATAATTGACCAGTTTATTATTAAGATCTGGTAATAATTGTTTCATTAATTAATTTTTTTTTAAACAACAGATTACTAATTAAAGTTCCTTATTGTGTTTGTTTTTACATAGTAAACAATTTTGATTTTAATTGTATGTCATTTGCTATTAATATTGTATTAATGCTTCCATTAATTGTAGCATTAATATTGTATTAATGCTAACATTGATTTAAAATGTTTTTTAGGCTGCACTGCGACGGGCCAGTGCCGTACTGCGATCACAGAAACCTCTTCCCACTAAGAAAACACGAACTACTAAAAAGACCGATTAATTTGTATATTTTATTAAATATACATTGTATATTAAAATATCTATTATGGACGACGTATTCTGTAAAGTAATTGTGCTCTAGCTTATAGTAAAATTTTTTGATGTATTATTTACACTTGATTTAGAAAACTGCTGTGCACCATTATTTTGCAGATATGCCATATTTTTATAACAAAACAATACACATTTCAGCAAAATAAAAGTATTTTAAAATAAACTTTTAATTAGATTAATTATAAACATCTTTTTAGGTAAGCCTTTATGTTGTATAAATTAAATCCTTTATTAGATTGTGATGTTTAGGTCTTATATTATGGAATTTTATTTTTAGATTGAAAGGAAAATCAGCACATGCTTCTTCTGTGATTGAGCAAAAACCAATTTTTAATTAGGTAAATTTTATTTGTTAAGTTTGTTTTAATTTTTTAAATTATATTTATTTAGTTTCTTATTTGTTATATAATATCTCTCGCACGCGTGTATTCACATACGCCAACTTTGGTATTGCTATGAATGCCATGATTTTTAATTTGTTACTTCTGACTCAAAATTTAATAAAATATATTGTTAATATTATTCAGTAACAAAGAATTTTCTTTGATTGTCAGGTTTGCTAATCCCTGGAAAATCGACAATGA